AGCTGGAGAGGTACTACAGTGGTTAAAGTGTTTGTTTCCCTTTCACTTGGCCAAACAAGGTGTATGATCCCTAAGCACAAAGTATTCCTGAGCCATGCCAGGTGTGGCACAGAAAACAGTATTTTAAGAAAATAGAGGATGAGAGATTATACTATATCATGGTGCACACCAAGCCATCAGAGACTCCCAGTAGAAACAATCCTGTCAATACCTTATTTGGAACTTCAGAGCTGTAAGAGAAGCAATTTCTGTTTCCTTATACCATCTAGCGTGTGGTGCTTTGTTACTGATATTCTAAGAAATGATAAACTTATTAATTACAGAATTTTACATCTAATAATAAATAAGAATATTTTGAAGGATACATTTTAATTGTGTTGTGTGTGAATTTGAAATGAATTTCCCCTATTTATATAGATTTTGCAATTTAGTGTTTTCAGATCAGTGTTCTACCAATTGCCCATATTAGTGAGAATCTTTTAACATTTTCAGTTCTTAGACATTCTTTATTCTAGGGAAATGTTCTCTTAGTAACTGTTGTTTCCCAACTTGCAAATGAACTACTAGGTACCAGACATCTAGAAATCAAGTAAGCAGGTGACTATCAGCTACTTATCTACCTAAGACTATTTGATTTCTGCCTTAGACATCCCAAAGTCACCCTTTAACACACTTAAGTTTAGTATTCAAATGAGTCTCTCAGAAGGACAGTATTTGCACCTTGTGTTCAATTGGCCATTCATTATATCTAACAAGATGGCATGGAAGAGAGCTACTCCCTAATGGGGTAGCTTTAATAGAATCTCCTAATTTCCCTATAAAATATGTTACTAAGAGCACATTTATATTCAACAACTCTCTAGGAAAGCAAAGGGGAAAGGATGGTTCATTAACTTATTTTTTTATGGTTTACCTGAGCCATGAGGGAATATGGGAAAATTACATAATCACCAAAACTGAAAGTAAGAAAAAAAGAGGGGGCAGGGGACTTCCAGTAAATACGTTTTACCTTCTTAAGATCTTGACACAAACATAAAATAATCATACTCATGCAACACGTGGAAGCATTTTTTAAAAAATAAACTACATCCTGTTCATAGCATAGTAGCAAGTATTGGGTAGAAAGCTCTGATTAGGATATTCTACTAGAAGTATTGGAGAACACATTGTTTTTCGTGGGGCTGAAGTGATAGCACAGTGGTAGGGCGTTTGCCTTACACGCAGCCAACAAGGCTGACCCAAGTTTGATTCCTCCGCCCCTCTCGGAGAGCCCGGCAAGCTACCAAGAGTATCTCGCCCGCATGGCAAAGCCTGGTAAGCTACCCGTAACGTATTCAATGTGCCAAACACAGTAACAACAAAGTTTCCAATGGAGACGTTACTGGGCCCGCCCAAGCAAATCGATGAACAACGAGAGGACAGTGACAGTGATTGTTTTTCGTGTGTTTACTTCCATATACTATTTATTTATTTAAATTGCTGGAAGAAAATTATTGAACTAGAAAGAAATTTAATGTTTTAGGTTTCCTAACATAGTCATCACCATGTCAACTCACCTATAGGCCCTGCGCTTCACATTCAGAAACTAAATCCCCAAGGAGATGCAAGCCAAGCACCTGACATTTATGGGCACAAGGATTTCCCCAAAGGCACTCAGGGTGCCTTTGAGAGGGTGACTTCAGGCTGAGTCCCCCGCTGCTAAAGCCCTGATAGCCACACCCATACCACACTGCTGCTACCAAGACAAGGGCCTGTGACTTACCTCCCTGGCTTCATTAGGGAGCAATAGCACAGCAGGTAGGGCATTTGCCTTGCACGCAGCCAACCCGAGTTCGATTCCCAGCATCCCATATGGTTCCCCAAGCACTGCCAGGAGTAATTCCTGAGTGCATGAGCCTTGAGTAACCCCTGTGCAACGCCAGGTGTGACTCAAAAAAAGAAACTCTGCAGATTTACCCAGGTTCTATAGATCCTAAAGTTTTGGACACCTCCAAATTCCACAGTACTAAAATTACAGTAGAAGTACAACTAATTAGATAGTAACACAGAAGCCAATTTAACTCAACAAACAAAAATAACACACAAGGCTGAACCAGAGATGAACAGTTTAGTCTCAGGCAAACATTAAACAACCCTGTAGTGAGATAAATTTGTTTCCACAAATTTTCTTTTTTTGAAGTATTTTTGACAAATCCTTTAGACCTTTGGTTATAAAAAGCAATACAAAGGAAATCATTGTATGCCTGCTAAGGGGGTAGGGTTGGAAGGTGGTTGAAACAATGGGACATGGTCGAGGGAAGGTCACCCAAGCACTGGGATTGGTGTTGAAGTGTCAAAACCTCAGAACAGCTGTTACCATGAACAACTTTATAAACTATGGTGTTTAAATAAACTAAAGTAAATAATTTTATTAATTAATTTGGTAATTTATTCAATAGAATCCTCTGAATAGCTATTAATGACATAAAATAAAAATATCTTGATATGGGTGGGAGGGCTACTGGAATGGGCACTGGTGGAGGGATGGGTAGTCAATCATTGTATAACTGAAACCCAAATACGAAAGTTTGTAAGTCTACAACTGTACCTCATGGTGTTTCATTAATAAGAAAAAAAAATCTTGATATGTTTTACTTCTTTTTTTCTTTTAGCTAATTTTATTTCAATATACTCATGGAAAAAAGGCATTTGAAAGGACTGCATTATAAAAATTCTTTTTTTCCCCATAGTTGATGCAGGGTGAAGTGGTAAATGTATTGCACATTGCATTAATCCTGAATAATAGTTATATAAAATCTGAAGCAATATTACATCAAAATTATAAATACTTATATGATGTACCTAACATGGGAATGACCCAACACAGTTATGAAATTCTCATGCTGAGCATTTTTGCCGAAAATTGTGCTCAAATATATTTATACTTTTATTTTAAGAACAGCTTTGCAACCTCTTTGTATATCCTTTAGGAAATGGCAGAAATTCACCCTTTCTCAAGATTTCACAGAAGTTAAGCTTCCCTGCAGAAGTCGACAAACTTACTAATTCAACTAATTTAGTTATTCTAACTATTTTAACTTAGTTTGTCTTCTTTACACCATTTTAAGGAGTTGGCAATTGAGTAGAAGAAAGAAACTCTGAAATAAAAATAGAGAGTAGGGAGGGTGGGAGATTGAATTTAATAAGATTAAACAAAAATTCCTGATCCTCTTAAATATTCATAACCAGCTATTTTTACTAAGAAAAGGAGATTCATAACAATCAACTCCTATTTTATTATAAAACAATTTTTCTTTTTTTATTTCTCTCTTGGCATATATTTACAATAGTGTTCATATTAATAATTCAGGAAAGCAATGTCTCAACATCACCCCAAGTGGCAGCCTCTGTCCACCACTATCTCTTGGTCCCTTCCCATTGCCCCACCATTACCATCCTGCAAAGTCAGTTCTATAGGCAGATTCCCAGAGTCCTTGAAACAATTTTTAATGATTAGATATATGAATAATGTATCTACAAAATAAAATTTTTATAAATATCACTGTCATTCTGTTGTTCATCGATTTTCTCAAGCAGGCACCTGTAATGTCTCCATTCGTCCTGGTCCTGAGCAAGTGCCATATTGGAGGTTCTGTCAGGGTCAGGGGAATTAGACTCGTCATTGTTACTGGGTTTTGGCATATTGAATATGCCATGGGGAACTTGCCAGACTCTGCCGTGCGGGCAGGATACTCTCAGTAGCGTGCCAGGTTCTCCGAGAGAGCATGAGAAGTAGACAATAGCACAGTAGCAGAGTCCTCCCATTGTTCATCAATTTGCTCGAGAGGGCCCAGTAACGTCTCCATTGTGAGACTTGTTACTGTGTTTGGCATATCGAATACGTCACAGGTAGCTTGCCATGTTTTGCCATGAGGGCGAATTACTCCCAGTAGCTTGCCAGGCTCTCCAAGAGGGGCAAAGGAATCAAACCTGGGTTGGCAGGGCCAGCCACATGCAAGGCAAATGCCCCACTGCTGTGCTATCAAGAGGTCAAAAAACAATAATGGTACAGTTTCTGTCTCTGGATCTTGGCCGTTGATGGGATTACATGGTGCAGGGACAGTTGTTAGGTGTAACTGCCTAGCTACTGGAAGATAGGGGATCTGGGTGGAGGAGGCCCAGTCCCGATCTGAGCAGGCTTGGAGATCTCAGCCCTGGGTCCCACACACTGGGGTTCCTCTGCTGGTTCCTTCACACATGAGGCTTGTCTGAGGATGTGAAGAGTGGTCTTAAGCTTGGCTGTGGCTGGAACCGGAGGTCTTCGGGTGCCGGGGCTTTGCTCGGGGAGGGAAAGGAAACTTAACCCACCCTCCCTCCAAGGGGCCCTGGTGAGGACAGCCAGGCATTGGGGCAGGAGATTCTACTTTTAGAAATATATTGATAGAAATTGTTTATAAAGAGTACATGGCTTTTTGCCTTTCAGTCTTTCCATGATTCTGAAATAAAGGCAAATAATTTAGTAACTAAAATAGAGATAAATTGATCATTAGTCAAAGAGCTATTCTGAATACAAAATTAAAACTAATATAATTTTTAAAATGAAGGTCATTTAGTTCATTTGCTTTTGGCTAATTGATCTAAGCCTCTTTCTGTATAAGTCTGGCTTCTCAAAAGTTCTCTTAGCCAAAATTTTAATAGAAACGGGCTGGAACCAGATTAGCTTCATTTACATAATAACAGTCCTCTCATCTGTTCCCCATTACAGTGTGTTTTGATATCATTCTCACTGGGAATCAGTTTATTTTTTTTCATATTTGTCTTTATGTTTACTTTTATCTTAACACCAGATTTTTCTCTGCTTTTTGAAACTTAAGGAAAGAATCTCAATGTACAGCTGTCTATCCCAAAACACTGATAGTTCTAGAGTCCCCAGCAAACTATATACACTCATTCTATTTTTTTTAAAGTGGATGCGACCCAGCTATTAGGGATATATATCTGTGTTTACGAAATGAAATTTGTTATATCCCTGGCAGGGGAGACACTATAATCATGAAAGTGGTTTTCCCAGGACTAGCCTTATCCATTCCACTCCGGATGTGCTCCCCACTGCGATTTCCCCAAATATGGGAAACTCCACTGCGCAGTTTGTGGTAGAAGGAGAATGCATTTATGCTCTCCCCTGAAGAAAAAATATAAATAAATAAATAAAAATAAAATTAGTTTAGAGCATTTGAAAATTCCTCATATTATTTCGTTGGTTTTCTGATAATTTTATAGCCAATTTAGCTGTTCAACAGAGAACCTGCTAATTTGTCATTGCATGCAGAATAATTTTTACTGTAATTATTTGAATATTTGGTTATATTCACCTTAATCCCTTCATCTTTGACAGTCTGAGAGATAAAATAAACTCTAATAGGAATCCTTTTGGCACTCCTCCATGAAACAGAACCATATAATCCTAAATAAACTCTATCAGTAATAGTATGGGATATGTTTTAGTTTGGGGCTTCTCCAACTAATTTAATAATGATGAGTTGTTTTTCTCTAAGATTCCAGAAATTACATTTTAAAATTTTACTTTACTATCATATTGACAATTCAGAATCTCTTTTAAAAAAAAGTCACAATTTTTATTTCACTTTACAATTTAAGAATCAAGATGATAATATAAAACATAATTTCCACAATATCAGAGTAAAGTACCATTATCTTCATGTATTAATAATGAGTTATGGGGTCCAGAGAGATAGCTCAATGAAGTGAGCATATGTTTTGCTTCCAGCAGACTGGTTCAATTCTTATCCCATGCTCTGGCCCCCAACTTTGAGAGCTCCTGAGCACAACTGGGTGAACTGCCAAAAAACAACAGGGCAAAAAGCTGTATTTATGCTGAAAGTAGACTATAGACTGAACATGATTACCACTCAATGCCTCTTTTGTAAACCACAACACCCAAAAGGAGAGAGAGAACAAAAGGGAATGCCCTGACACAGAGGCAGGGTAGGATGGGGGGTGGGGGGTGGGATGGATACTGGGACCCATGGTGGTGGAAAATGGGCACTGGTGGAGGGATGGGTGTTTGATCATTGTTCAATTGGAACCCAAGCACAAAAATTTGTAAATCTACAACAGTACCTCATGGTGTTTCACCAACAAAATTTTTTTTAAAAAAATGTAAATGATGGAGAATGGGCTCTGGTGGAGAGATGGATACTGGATTATTGTATAACTGAAACCCAAGCACAAAAATTTGTAAGTCTACAAATGTACCTCATGGTGTTTCACTAATAAAAAAAATTTTAAAGCTGCATTTATACCCAGCAAATAAATAAAACAACCAAAATATGAAACTTATTCTTTTTTAAATTTTTATTTATTGAATCACTGAGAGATCCAGTTACAAAATTTCATTATTGAGTTTCAGTCATAAAATGATCAAACACCCATCCCTTCACTGGTATACATTTTCCAGCACCAATGTCCCCAGAATCCCTCCCACCAACCCCACCCTACTCTAACCCCTGCTTCTATGGCAGACAATTTCCTTTTTACTATCTCTCTACTTTTAGATGTTATGGTTTGCAATATAGATACTGAGAGGCCATCATGTTTGGTCCTTTATCTGCTGTCAGCACACATCTCCCATCCAGAACAACCCCTCCAACGATCATTGACTTAGTGATCCCTTCTCTATTCCAGCTGCCTTTTCCCCCAGCTCATAAGACAGGCTTCCAACTATGAAGAAATTTTCTTGGCCCTTGTCTTTACTGTCCTTGGGTGTTAGTCTCATTATGTTATTTTATATTCCACAAATGAGTGCAGTCATTTTATGTCTGTCCCTCTCTTTCTGACTCATTTCACTTAGCATGATACTCTCCATGTCAATCCACTTATAAGCAAATTTCATGACTTCGTCTTTCCTAACAGCTGCATAGTATTCCACTGTGTAAATGTACCATTATTTCTTTAACCAGTTGCGTGCTCTCCGGCATTTGGGTTGTTTCCAGATTTTGGCTATTGTGAACAGTGATGCAATGAACATACAGGTGCAGGTGTCACTTCTATAGTGCTTTTTTTGCACACCTGGGACATATTCCCAGAAGTGCTACTGCTGTGTCATATGGAAGCTCAGTTTCTAGTTTTTAAGGAATGTCCATATTGTTTTCAGAAAGGCTAGGCCAGTCAGTATTTCCACCAAGACTGAGTGACCCTTACTCCCCACATCCGTGCCAGCAAGGTTGCTCTTGATCTTTTTGATGAGTGCCAGTTTCTATCGTGTGAGATGATATCTCATTGTTGTTTTGATTTGCATCTCCCTGATGATTGTGATATGGAGCATTTTTACATGTGCCTTTAGGCCATTTATATTTCTATTTTGAAAAAGTTTCTGTTTATTTCCTCTCCCCGTTTTTTGATGGGGTTGGAGAGTTTTTTCTTGTACAGTTTTACTAATGTCTTGTATATCCTGTATATTTACCCCTTATCTGATGGGTATTGGGTAAATAATTTTTCGCATTCAATGGACTCTCTTTGTATTTTGGTCACTGTTTCCTTTGAAGTGTAGAAGTTTCTTAGTTTAATGTAGTCCCATTTGTTTACACTTGCTTGGTCAGTGGTGTTTCATCCTAAAAGACACTTTTACCTTTAATTTCATGGAGGGTTCTGCCTACATTTTCCTCCATGTATTTTATGGATTCAGGTCTGATATTGAGGTTTTTAATCCACTTTGATCTGATTTGTGCCTGATGTTAGACAGAGATCTGAGGGTTTTTTTTTTTTTTGCAATAGCAGTCCAAATTTCCCAGCACCACTTGTTGAAAAGGCTTTCCTTGCTCCATTTCAGATTTCTCACTCCTTTATCAAAGATTAAGTGATAATATATTTGAGTTTGTGTCAGAATATTCAACTATGTTCCATTGGTCTGTGGGACCGTCTTTATTCCAATATCACACTGTTTTAGGGCTGGATCGATAACAGCAATTAAGGCATTTGCCTTGCATGCGTCCAATCCGGGTTCAATTCCTCCGCCCCTCTCAGAGAACCCGGCAAGCTACTGAGAGTATCTCACTCGCACAGCAAAGCCTGGTGAGCTCCCCATGGTGTATTCGATATTCCAAAAACAGTAACAAGAAGTCACACAATGGAGACTTTACTGGTGCCTGCTCGAGCAATTTGATGAACAACAGGAGGACAGTGCTACATTGATACTGTTTTAATTACTACTGCTTTGTAATACAGTTTGAAGCTGTCTTTTTTTCTTTTTCCATCCACCCATCTTCTTTTTCCCAAGGATTGCTTAGATAACTGTGGGGGGTTATTGTTCCATATGAATTTTAGGACTGTTTTATCTATTTCTTTGAAGAATGTCATGGGTATCCTTATAGGAACTGCATTAGATTTGTATAATACTGTGGGAAGAATTGCCATTTTGACAATGTTAATCCTCCTAATTCATGAGCAGGATATGTGTCTCCATTTCCTAGTGTCTATTATTTCTTAAAGTAATGTTTTGTAATTTTCTTTGTATAGGTCATTCACCTCTTTAGTTAAGCTGATTCTGAGGTACTTGATTTTCTGTTTCACTGTTTGAACAGTTTATTTTTTTTTAAATCTCTCTCTTCTCTTTCATTATTTGTATATATAGGAAAGCCATGGACTTTGGGGCATTGATTTTATAGCCTGCAACTTTATTATACAAACCTATAGTTTTTAGGATATTTTTTGTAGAATCTTTAGGATTTTCTAAGTATAGTATTATGTCATCCACAAATAGTGATAGCTTGACCTTTTCTTTCCTATCTGGATACCTCTGGATACTAAATATTAATATACAGTAATATTCTGAGTTGACACTAAATTGGTCCTAGATCTCATAAATAGGTATAGATTTATCTTTAATTTACCAAAGCATAATGTCTTAAGTTAAATACTTTATTTTTTAATTTCCAGGTGTTTGGTTTGATTTTCTGTTTGTGTGTGTGATTCACTTCTATTTTCAGTGCATCACGATCTGAAATGATCGTTGATACGATCTATATCTTCTTAATTTTATGGAGGTATGTTTTGTCACCCAGCATATGGTCTATCTATATTCTATGAGAATATCCCATACGGACTTGAGAATAACATGTATTTAGCTTTTGGGGGGATGAAGTGACTAAATATATTTACTAAGCCCCTGTCTTCCGTTCCTCCCCTCAGTATGTCTTTTCTGAGCTTAAGTCTGATTGATCATCGAGAGGTGATAAAGCTGTGTTGAAATCTCCAACTAGTACTGTGTTGCTACAGATGTGTTTCTTCAAGTGTGTGAGTAATTGTTTTAAGTATTTTGCTGGTCCCCCGTTAGATGGGTAAACATTTAGGAGTGTGAATTTTTCCTGATATACTGATGCCTTGAACATTAAAAAACGACCTTCGCTGGGGGCTGGAGCAATAGCACAGTGGGTAGGGCGTTTGCCTTGCACGCAGCCGACCCGGGTTCAATTCCCAACATCCTATATGGTCCCCTGAGCACTGTCAGGAGTAATTCCTGAGTGCTTGAGCCAGGAGTGACCCCTGAGCACATCCAGGTGTGACCTTCATTGTCTTTTTTGACCTTCAATCTGAAATCAATGTGGTCTGATACAAGTATGGTCACCTCAGATTTTTTGAGGGGATTGTTTGCCTGTAGAATTGTTTTCCAGGCTTTGACTTTAAGTCTTCGTTTGCTCTGACTGTTCAAATGTATTTCTCGCAATCATCAGAATATTGAGTTCAATTTTCTCAATCATACTGCCACTCTGTGTCTTTTAATTGGTATGTTTAACCATTGACATAGAGAGAAATTATTGTTATGGGGTTTTGTCCCATCTTTTTGCTGAAGTTTGGTGTATTTGAGGGATTTGTCTTGTCTTAAAGTAGCCCATTTAGTTTTTCTTGTAACCATGGTTTTGTATCTATGAAGTTCCTGAGTTGCTGTTTGTCTGTGAAGCTATGTGTCGTTCCTTCTGATATGAATGAGTCTTAGCTAGGTAAAGGCTTGGTGAGGTTTTTATTTCATTAATTTTTTTCACTATATCCCACCATCATCTTCAGGCACATAGGCTTTCATTAGTCTGCTGTGACTCTTAAAGATGCTCCTTTATAGGCAATTTCTTTCTTTGATCTTGCTGCTTTCAGAATTTTATCTCTGTCTATGGA